ACGAAAACTATCTCAGAAAAAAACAACACAAAATTGGTGCATCGAGTCATCGAATGGTTTTCTTATAGAGCCTTAAATCAATTGATATATTAACACATGTCCAAAGTGTATTTATTGTAGGACACATGTCGATACACTATTTGTGAATAACTGTGGATAGCTCCAAAATTCGAGTCATGGCTCCATAACAAAACTGATTGATGCATACCAATTTGAAAATGTTTGTTCATATAAGTATATAGAGGGTGTTGGTTTTGAATTTTCGAACATCAGTTCGCAAGCAACACCAGTTTTGAGTGCCAACTTTTCCTGCCTGCAATGATAAAAAATCACTTGTTCACAGTTTAGTCTCAGGCAAACACTCAGACAAGTAGTAAGGAGATCAAATCGCATTTGCATTTTGATCCATTCCCAAATCAAGCAATTCTTTGCAAAAGAGAGCTCACACGAAAGCAGAGAACGATTATTAATAGCTTCAGAAAAATCAGACGCATCAATACATAGAAATCGAGATTCTTCCTACTATTGAGAGAATTTGCTGGGGTATGACTAATATGAACATGCAAGAAACAAATGTGCTTCATCTGCCAAACGGGAAAGTTCGAAGTTAAAAGTTTCACAAAAGCACGACAGTCACACGTGAAAATCTCTAATCAATACTCATTAGCAGTTTCAAGAACCAAAAAACACATGCTACTAAACTGTCTCCAAACCCAATTTTGTACTTTTCCAGTTTGGAGCAAATCACTGCCCAGCTCTCAGTAAGGCATTCACGAGACATCTTTTTATTCAGAAACAATTTTTGAACTTCACGTGACGAACTATTTCTTGGCGTGAAACTTCTCGATCTCTGCAAACCAACTCCACTGCAGAAACAGAGCAACAACGCGCATTAAACCAGCAGTCATAACCTCCAAGAATGCCATCAGATACGATCTCTGTGGGGACAGCCCAGCAGTTGCACCAGAAAGCATAATGCCCAATAGATTGCAGTTAACGTTAAACGAGGCGGACTGAATCCCATCCAGAGCTTTTTGGGCAACATCATCGGCTTTCTGAGCGGCAGAGGAAGCAGCTATTATGCTAGTAAGTTGAGGTCTCCTTTTGTACTCTGCCACAGGGTGTTTAAATTTCAATTGAATTGCAATATTCGGTGTAAAAATGTCGACATGATATAGGAATTGAATATCTGAAGAAAGCCATTCACTTCAGAAATATTATAATGTGCACCTAAAGTATAAGAAAAGGGACTACCGATTGTTTTATAAGTTATGGGGAAAGCAGGCACAGTCTTGAGATAGTATCATTTTCAAATGCACAAACCTAAAATCTATCTATACACATACATATATTTCACATTCTTTATAAAAGACCGAATAAATATTATTCTGTTTGCCAAGTTGTGCTTCAGGAAGTTTGACTTGTAATTGTGCTGTTTGCTATTAGTCGAACAATTTTCTAATCCCTGCATGGATGAACCATCCAACATACTATTTCCAAAAATACTTCCATAATAAAGAGTGCACAACATAAACAGAGCATTTTATAATGAGAACACGCGATTTAGTTTCTTTTACACTACAAGTTGGGGTTCAAGGAGAATTCGGACCTTCGGCAAATCCGGGAGTATCAGTGTCTGGAGGGAAAATGAGGGACACATGAATGTTGTCTGTTATAACCTCATGCTGAAGTGCTTCTGCCAAACCCCTGAGGCCAAACTTACTGGCTGAATAAGCTGCATAACCGTAAATGCCAACCTGAAACAAGTCACCACCAGACAGGGTTAAATACGAAGAAGAACGTTCATATGAAATTATAAATAAAAAGACATTACTCGGATTCAGAACCAAAAGTACATTAAGAACTGGAAATACTCGGTTACATAATCAGTTCAAGCCAGAAGGAAGGTTTTAATAACGAAGAGACAGGGCAATAGACCAGAAATCTAGACAACTAATTCCTAGCTAACAGAACAAACTGGTTATAGCCTACAAGACTCACAACCATGTAAATTATAACGCCCTAAATTAATTGACCTACCCAAGGTCACACACTAGGCATATGCACACTTACAGAGAAATAACAAGATTATGAAGGACCACAACAAGGTAACCAAAAAAGAGCTGATTAGATTATGCTGGTGAGAAACCATTATCAGATCAGAGAGGTTTCCAAATCAAAACCTTTATGAATTTACTGACGGACAACGGAATTATCTGAGTAATAACAAGAAAATACTAGCCACATCAAAACAAAAAACTTAAGATCCGTTTAAATCAATCGATAAATCTATGAAACGAGCAGCACATTTGCTTGTCACAATTGTGCAATTTTTTCACCTGACCAGCCTGGGAAGACATGATTGCAATAGAACCGGGTCCACGCTCGGCCCGAGTCTGCTTCATACGGGGCAAGGCGGCCTTAATCAGGTGGAATGTTCCCGTCAGATTCACATCGATCATGAACTTGATCTCCTCCATATCTTGATGCTCGACTTCCTGCGGGATGTAAACCCCATGGTTGCACACGAGCACGTCGATCGGGCCGGCCTCCTCCACCGCGCGCTTGACGGCGTCGTAGTCCCTGGCGTCGACGCTGAAGACCCTGACGTCACGCCCCGTCGCGAGCTTGATGGATTGCTTGGCCTCTTCGAGCTTGCTGGCGTTTCGGGCCAGGAGTGTAACGTCGGCGCCGCCGCGCGCGCAGAGGTGGGCAAGGGCGAGCCCGATGCCGCTGGATCCGCCGGTGATGAACACATGGCGATTCTTGATTGGGACGTGAGCGGGCTTGGGACGGACTATGAAGTAGAGGAGGATTAAGAGGGAGAGTGGGAAAATGAGGACTAGAGAGAAGAAGGAGAAGTAGACTTCGGCCATGGATGCAATTTAATTTTTCTGTAGTTGAGATTGGGCAGGGCGAAAAAGAATATAACCTAATTACGTCGTCGTTTGTTGGAACTTGGAAGTCTTGTGCTGCGAAATTATGGAGTAGAAAAAATAGAAATGAGCGCGTCAAGGAAAATTTTGCTACCCGCGTTAGTGGATATGCAATTTTTTTTTTTCTATAGTTGTTTTTTTTTTTTCTTTTTAATTTTATCAATCTCCCAATATATAGTTTCAGAGTTTTGTGAAGTTGTGTTAAATTCTAACAACTTTGCTAACAAATCAGATGGTCGGTTCCCTTATGAAACCAACCACCAATGAAACAGTGTCAGGTATTATTCATAGTCCCATGTGACACTGTGTCATTGGTGGTTGGTTCCATAAGGGAACCAACCATTTGGTTTCATAGAAGAACTGTAACTTCTAATGCTTTCTAATTTTATATGTCGAATTCAGCTTATGTTGTTTCAAAATCTTATATGTCGATTTCGGGTGCTTATTCCATGTAAAGTTGGACTTCTATCCATACCTATTAGGATTTTAAATTACAAACATCTGATTAATTAAACTATAAACATTTTTTTAAGTTAAAAAATTTATATTTGTTATCAGTTTTTATATATGATATATCAAATTATTTTGAAATATAGATGTTGATATGTGATACTATACGAGGTTGACTTGACCCTAGAAACAACATGATCGAACAGGTTAAACCGGCAGGTCGAACGGAGATCGAAGGCATTGCAGGGCGAAGAGTCCTCAGGTCGTTGAGAACGTTACGGACCCAAGGAGCAAAAACAAGTCGAGCTAGGGCCCTCGGATGTCCTGGTTGGAACTCGACCTGAAGGAGTGAACGGTCGATGGATCGACCCGATGAGTAGAGCATACGAGCTCAGCACAGGCAACACTCCACCTCGAGGTAATTTGAGTCGGTTGCAGATTATAGCGTATAAAAGGCATTCTGATGGATAAAAAAGAATATTATTAAGATTAGAGTCACACGTGGATAAGGTCATGTGACCTAACAGAATTGGGCAATTTGGGCAATACGAACATGCAGTTCGTATAGTCTTGAGAAGCAAGGTAAAAAAAACCCATACACTATTGTCCACCATCTTCACATGTGACAGACTTGATTCTCGGACTGCTAACCTTGGGAACTCCTCTCGGCGCAATTTGTAGGTTAAACATGTATTTGATTGGTGAAGAAGGCAATGTAAGTTGAACTGAGCTTGTCCGAACTCTTTTACACACCATTTGGCGTCGTCTGTTGGAACTATGTTCAAAAAGCCATCTGGGAGATCCAGCCATGGCGAGCAACATTCTTATAAAAAAACCTAGATGACATGCAGACAAACACACGCCCGCTCGAAGCAAGCCCACCCCCGGGCTTCTCCAGGCCATCTCAGACACCGATGCCTCATCAGACAAAGTCAAGCCCACTACTTTAGGATGTGGTTATCCCATAAAAAGTTATTAAAGACATTACTGTACCAAGAGAGATTGAGTGGCCAACTTATACACCTGAGCAACTGACATCGTATAAGCAACGACTGTCAGTAGCTTTCACACCTTAATTATTCTTGATCATGTAACTCGTTTCACAGGTGATCATATGAAGCACCTCATGTGATGGTTGCCCGATGCTTATTTTTATGAGTAGAGCTCTTTCAATCAGAATTTCATGGTCATTCTGCCGTGGTCAATCAGAATTTAATGGTCATTATGTCATGGTCAATCAGAGGATTTAGTCTAATAACTTAAAATAATGAACATCAATGATGCATCTAGGTACCGGTATATTAGAGAAACCTTGAGATGAAGTAACATAAAAAGGGAAAATTGGATGCCTAATGCAATGCACTTACATGAATGACAGAGTGAAGTGACTGATTGAGGGATACTACAACTATACATAATATATTATAATGTAATGCAACTGACAAGCATACTACATACCATTCCTAATGATTTTACCAATGATAGGAATTGTTGTGTGTCCAATGCTTGTGTAAAAATATCAGCAAGCTGACCTTCGGTAGGAACATGATCTAATACAATAATTCCATCTTCAACCGAATTCCGAATGAAGTGATGTCTAATATCGATGTACTTTGTGCGTAAATGTTGTACCGATTTTCATAAATGTTAATGGCACTGGTGTTATCATAGAAGAGTTGGTTGGAATGTACCTTCAGCCCATACTCAAGAAGAACTTGCTTTCTCTAGATCAGCTGAGAGCAACAACTGCCGGCAACAATGTACTCGGCTTCCACGTTAGAAAACGAGGTGCAGTTTTGTTTTTTAGACAACCAAGACATAAGGTTTGTACTGATATAAAAGCAATCACCGGAGGTGCTTATTCTATCATCAAGGTTACCAGCCCAATCAGCGTCACGATAACTTGTCAGACTCAAATTTGTATCAATTGAATAAAATATTCCATAATCCGAAGTACCACCAATATACTTGATAATATGCTTTATGACTTTTAAGTGAAATTCATTGGGATCAGACTGATATCTGGCTTATATACCAACAATAAAACAAATATCAGGTCAACTTGTAGTTATGTAAAGCAGACTTCATATCATGCTACGATAAAGCAGACTTCATATCATCCTTGGACAACTTCGTTTAAGTGCCTATAGGAGTCTGAGTGTGTTTAGCATTTTCAAAACCAAACTTTTTAACAAGATTTTTAGCGTAATTACTTTGATGGAGACAAATACAATCCTTAGCTTTAGATCGGGGAAGCAACCGAACCAAACCGGATAAGACATCACGTCGAACAAAGAGCGGTGAATTCACAAGTGGAAGGATCCCCAGGTTGAATTAAGGCCCTAGGATGGTCTCATGGAAGTTCGATCCGAAGGTCTATTTGGTCGAAGGATCGACCAGATAGGCGTGGCAGCAGAGCTCGACATCGATGGTATTCTACCTCAAGGTTATCTAAGGCAGTCGTATGGTTAGATAGTCTAATGAGGAAGACTAAAGGATAAAAAAGAATATTCTTGGGATTATACCCCCGCGTGGATAGGACTATGTGGCAAACATACTTGGGCAGTTGGGGCAGTCCGGGCAGTTAGGATAGTACGAACGGGCTGTTGGGACAGCTCATACGTCTGGCTTGGTAAACATTGTATCATCTTCCTATATAAGGGAGTGAAGTATGCCCGAAATTATATTACACTCTCTATGCACTCTTATATTGTACTTCATCTTATACAAGTGCTAACTTATATTTTGGAAGCTCTTCACCGAAAAACCCCTCTGGTGTGAGAGTTCTGCAGATCAAAAGGCGTTCAATCGGTGGTCGAGCTTGAGATTTATCCATTTCTATTCGTTTCCAGCTAGTCAGAGGTCTTTACTGTACCATTTGGCGTCGTATGTGTGACTTTCGTTCGAAAAGCTGTGAAACACCATAACCATGGCGGGAAAAATTACCATAACAAACTTGGAGCACCCTTTTGAAGATGCATGGCTGAGCATGCGACCATTCAGGGCTGGCCCTCCGTTGGGCTTCTCCGGACCTTCTCTGACCCAAATGATCCCAATGCCTTGTCCCGCTGGCTTAGGGAGTTCAGCAACGATATCTCCATCCAAATTTTTTTCCATCATTTCTAAACCTCAGTTGTATTCGACCTCAGTGGAGTGTATTTTTTATATTTATACCTATGGATCTTCTACTGTATATCTCAAACACTCTCTTCAACTTGTATCGGTGGAACAACAAGAAGAAGATAAAGCTCGAATGAGGAGAGAGAGAGAGAGAGAGAGTGAGAGAGATGAGGTTAATGATGTATATATAGAGCTACAGTAGGGGCCCTTAGGAGATTAGGAGAAGGACCCTTAATTGATTAAAATACTTATGGGTCAGCCCACGTATTCTAATTAATTAAATAATATTAAATAGGTCACCAACATAATATTATTGCACTCCTTTATCTAGCCTAATTTAAAATTGAGACTCCAATAATAATTACTCGATTTATCTCCCCATGTTTAAAATATACTTTCCTATAATTAATTCGATTACTGACAATCAAGAATTATTAATTTATTATTATTTTCCGAAGCGAGTACTCGTTCATCACATTCTTACTATGCCGGAATTTAATCTACCTGCAGGGTTTAGCATAATAATCTTTCATGAACTCACTTCGGGGACAACATCAAACTAACGCACATGGTGACCGTAAATATCATAATAGCACATCATACATGTAGCAATATTACCCAAGACAGAGGGTCTATTGGCCTAGTTCAATAAGCCTCACCCATGTGAATCAAAGTAATAAGTACTACACATATATGCCTTTTTAATATCTTACGGGTTAAGAGTACGCAGTAATTAACTGAGGCCTAGTTCGTTTACGACGATCAGTACAAAACGAATTGCTTCTCTTTGGGATTCTGTTCAATACATAAATGTACTAGTGCAACTAATCAGTCAAGACAAATTGTACATTTGACACTACAACCGTCATGATGGGGTGTTTATGTCCATCTAGGTTGTGAACCATTAATTCTTGTTTCGCGAGTAACTGATAGTATGATCTTCGCTGCGCCCGATGACGACCCACACTATCTTATGCAAAACAACAGAACGTAGAACTTGTTTAATCTAACATGTTTCTCATTCATAAAGGGTAAAAGTGTAATATCATCTAAAGCCAAGCTTTCAGTATGTAATACTAACATGCGTCTCAATTGTACCCGCTTGCACAGGGCTATTTGATACTGCTTCCGACAGCTCCGGTGGCCGCCGGGTAGCAGGAGCTGGGGTCGCTGCCGTGTCTCCACACATTACCCACCCAGGCAGAGGCTCCGCCCCCACAGGACGCTTGTGTAACCATGAGTTGTCTTCCCCGCCTGCTCACGCTCTCTTTCCTCTACCATCTTCTTCAATCCGTGCTTCTTCGCTTGGCTTTCGGTTGTTACGTACCAGATCAACGTTGGTTGAGCTAAAGGTTCCCCACAAACGGTGC